TATTGTCTATGAAATTTAATCAGGAAAACAAAAAACAAATCATGAGTTATGGGTCGACCGGATGTCTGCAAGGTCAGCGTTGTCGGTTTTGCTTTTCTCAAAATCAATTGTGAGCCGTCCTAATATTAATCTGTTACTCAATGCTTTACTCAAACCATGGCGAATCTATTGAGCTGCTCCAGGGGCTTTGAAGCTTCCGTGGAAAGCGGTAGGGAGAAAAAGTCGGGAATGCTGATTCTCACCGACCTGACGTTCCTTGTTAATAACCGGAAAACAGAAGTAAACAGCTATGGAAAACAGAATTTCATTGCAGCGTTTAGAGCACGAAATTGCTACCAGAGCATGCAAAACACATTAGCGAAACATTCAAGTATTAGCATAAAATTTCAAGTGAAACAGACGCGATGACTTGTGATCCTGCGAGCTGAAGGTTGCCAACTTTGAAATTCTTGAAATCAGTTCTGAAGCGTTCTATGAGGATTCCCTTGCTGCAACTTCTAGCTCAACCTACTTCTAATCTATAGAGCAGCTTAAGCGATTTTACCACTTTGAATAGACGGAAATAGAGGCAGCTGTCGAAGGTACTAATTTTCGCCGACTCAACTTCCAACTTCAACGACTAAAAAACAAAAATTATTTCCTCAACCAAAGCTTTTTGATATTCTTATACTACGAGAAGTTTCCTATCAGATGATATCAAACTTGCTTGCAAAACATTTCACTTTTGGAACAAAATTTTCAATTGAAAAAAACGCCATTACTTATGTGCCAACCCAATATTTATATGGACGTGTCTTGAGCCGCTGAATCCAAATCTGCCCTCGGAATTTGCGGAACGATTCTCTGAAGGGAGTTACGGACCATTTAATCTCTGCTCTGTTCGCACAAGTTGAGAACGATAACTGCATGCGGCAAGCGGCCGATGGCTAGTGGATAGGCGCACTGCTTCAGAGACACAAGGTCGCATGTTGGATTCCTTGACTCTCGAAAATTTTTGCTTTTATTCAAAACACTTCATATGAGTCCCTAAAACACTTCTGTTGGCCAATTTACCTAGTTCTTTAAT